CAAAAATTATTATAAACTAGATGTAAGTGGCATTTTGCATTGATTTAATCAATAATAATTTGATTTATACAATTTATAATTTGATATTAGTCGATAATCGGACGCAAAATATTAAAGCGCGGAAGCGCCACGTCGCAGTACAATGGTTAAAAATTTTATAAACAACTTATGTGTACTTTTACAAGAGTCCATTTTTTTAAATTAGATTTTAAATTTGATAATTTAGAATTTTGTTCAAAATTTTGATTTTTTTTTTGAATTTTGAAATTTTTTTCAAAGTTTAAAATTTTTTGGAATTTAAAAAAAAGTTTCAAAGTATTTTGAGAATTTGGAAACTTTTGAAAATACTCTTTTTTAATTTTCGAAATATTTTCAAATTTTTGTAAAAAATAATTTTTTTTTTATTTTTTCGAAATTTAGTTTTTTTTGAAAATGATGAAAAATTTCGAAAATTTAATTTTTTTGAAAATTTTGTTTTTTTTTTAATTTTCAAAATTACTACATATTCTGTAAATGCATTTTTTGCACACCATCCACTTAAGCAAAACGTTTTTTGAATTAATCTAATCGGATAATCCGTTCTTTACCCTTTACGCTCCATACCTCTGAAACGGCAAAACTGCCTCTTGCAAAAACGCCTCGCGATCAAGTACGAACCGAATGATTTTTTAATCATACAAATCGGTTATTCCATACTGTCGAAAATGTCGAGGACATTTGTCTGAACTATATAAAAAACTTCAAAATCAAAAATCTTCGTACGGAACCCAAAAAAAATTACACAAAATGTGTACACAATATTAAAATCTCTATAAAATATCTTATAATTTGAAGTACATATGTCCAATAAACAATTTTGACCGTCGAATAGACATTTTTTTAAATTATTATTATTGAGAGTCCATAACCGCTGGACCTGCCTTCCATTTTACCAATTGTTCATTTCATCAATACAAGTAAAATGTTTTTTGAATTATTAAAATCGGACGCTCCGTTCTCTTAAAAACTGAGTTACCGTTTTTGGCACTTTTTGCCCCGTATATTCGGAACGGCTAGACCTGTCTTCACCGAAAACTAATCAGCACGCCTCCTTATCAATACGAATCAAATGTTTTTTTGAATTACTCAAATCGGTTGATCGGTGTTCCCGAAATCGTCGACAAAAATTTATATACGCACACACACACATTTTTTTCTAAGGTATGTCAAATATTCAGAAACGTTTAAAACGTAAAGATATATAAACATTTTCATTTTCAATTTTTTTGCGATTACTATAACTTGCCCCACGGGAAGTTAATAAGTAGAATAAGTGTAGATGTTATTCCAGTAGATTAGATGTGATGTATATTCAAAACCGGCAGTATATTTGTTGATTTATATTTTGATTTGATTGTATATTTATTATAATATAATATTATCTAGTATAATTTTGTTATTATTGTATTATTAAAAAACATAATACGATTGTAATACCAAATTTAGTTTCAAACAGTAAACGGGTAGATTACTAAAATTAATCATTCAATTTTTATTTCAAAGTTGGCGCCATTAATTTGAATGTCAAAAGCAGCGCCATCACGGCTTAGCGGGAAACCCTTTAAGTATCCCTTCTGAACGTCAAAATCGGGTAACACATCGTATTCCATGTCTAAGGTTGTCATATGTTAAAGTTTAACTTTTCAAGTGAGTTGATCGAATAAATAGAAGTCAATCATCGAATATAATTATCAATTTTACGCTATATACACTAATCATGTTTTTCCGGTTTTCGGTGTTGTTTTTCATGACATTTGTGGGCGTGTCGGTGGATCATATCGACCAGAAGATAAATATTGATTCTGCGAGTGTGCCAAATTGTTCACTGACAAGAAAACATGGTGATTTACTTACGATCGATATCGAGAACTCATCACCGAGTAGTGACGTCTTTCAAGAAATTGATATTGACGAAAATAATCAATTGTCGAGGGAAGAGCTTAAAACATACATTCAACAGAAATATTTGAGAGGTGCTAATATAATGACGGAAGGAGCTTTACGAAGGTGTCAAGAATGCAACGAAGAACTGGTTAACATATTAAAAAATTTTGACACATTACTCGATGAACTTTTGCAAAATAGAGATGAAGGTACTACAATAGAATTTGAAGACCCAGGCCGTGAAGAATTATAAAGTTAATCAATTTCAATTGTATTATGTTGTGCAGTTTAGTTGTGGCAAAATCTGCATAGTATTAAAAAATAAAATCTGTCTTCAAATGTTTTTTCATTATTGTTTAACAAATATTAATCTCGCATCTTACACTTTATGTTCATGAACTATTCCATTGGTAAATATTATAATAAAGTTGTTCTTGGGCATCCATACATTAATTGAAACTGTGTAGTTGAAGTAAATTTTTTTATTGTCAAACGTTTCGGGTCCTGATTTGACCCATCTTCAGTGCTACATTAAAGGATTACAGGGTTACAAGTTAAAAATACAATAAAAATACAAAGATATAAACAAAAAATGCGAATTAACTTAAATAAATCTAAACAATATGGTAATAAATTATTATAAGACTAAAATAATAGAATAATATGCAATAAGTCACGATACAAATAATTTGAAGCAAAAATAAAAACAAAAAAACACGGAAAATATAATGCACCAATCACTAACAAGTCACAAAGCACGACTTTTAAAAAATATTCAATTAAAATAAATATTAAATTAAAATAAAATAAATGAAAAGATTTTGAAAAAATAACTTTTCATCGAGTCAGGTTATATGTTTGGATTTTTTTTTACTAGTGAATTGTGTTTATATAGATAAGGATACTCGAAGAGCTGTTTCGTTATTGGTTGAAAGACTGAGATAGAGAAGTTTTAGTGGCGCTTTGGCCGGCGGAAAAATTACGAAGTAAGGATATGGAAAATATAGGTTTTGGATTTAAACTGTAATCAGTAAGCTAAAAATTTTTTTTGTGAAAATTAACATAGGAGACATATATATATATATATATATATATATATATATATATATATATATATATATATATATATATATGAGTGAGTTCTTGAGGGCGATACATCAAACAAAGAAAAGCCAAAGATTTATAAAATAATCTTTATTTCCAAACGTTTCGACATTCAATTTAATGTCATCATCAGTGGATATTACGTTGGTTGGTTACATATAGAGAAGTGTACACAGCACTAGAGATTGGCACTAACATTTATACAACTATTTTAGTAGAAACGTTTGGAAATAAAGATTATTTTATAAATCTTTGGCTTTTCTTTGTTTGATGTATCGCCCTCAAGAACTCACTCATATATTTCAACATCAAAATTAACTACTAAATCATATATATATATATATATATATACATATACACACGCACAAAAGTATGCATATACGTATATGTACATAAAAGAAAGTATATATATATATATATATATATATATATATATATATATATATATATAAAGCGAGAGGTTTTTCTTCAGATGGTAAAATAATATAATAAATTTGTTATTGGGCATCCATCCAGTAATTAAAAACAGTTTTATTGAAGGAAAATGTTTTTATTATGAAAACATACGTTTCGGGTCTTGATTTGACCCATCTTCAGTGCTACATTAAAATATTTCAGGGTTACAATTTAAAACAACATAAAAAATACACAATTACTAATTATTAAAAAAATATAAATAAAAACGTGTAAAAAAGCATAAATCTAATCAATTTAATAAATTTGTTTGTTGACATAAGCAAATGTAAAGAACTCACCATACAAATAAATTGAAGAAAAAAACACAAAAACACACGAAAATTGCACGAAAAAATTATGTAACAACAAATTATATGACAAATATTATATAATTTGTCAAATTAAAATAAAACTAAAAATACGTTTTTTATAAAAAAGCTTTTTCCAAAAGAGGCATGTTGTCCGTTTGGAGTTTGTGTAAGAAGTGTGTGTACGTGTTGGTGAAAAATGGTGAAAATGTTTGTCATTGGTTGAAAGACTGAGATGGAGAGATTTTTAGTGGCCTCATAGTACGAAGATTTCCTCGGCGATCATGCGCAGTAGGAACATAGAAAATATAGCTTGTGGAAACAAACTGTAATCAACGGTTGAAAATATGTGAATAAAAATGAATATAGAAACATAATAAAACCATGAAAGACGTTGTAAAATTGAAAAAAATATGCGAAACGAGATCTATTAAAAAAAGTATAAATTTAATATTTATCTATGAAACGATATTAGTTATGGAACAAGTTATTATAAAAAAATATAACTTAATATAATATATATGTATATATACAAAATACATTCTCCTTCAATAAAACTGCTTTTAATTACTAGATGAATGCCCAAGAACAACTTTATCAAATATATATATATATATATATATATATATATATATATATATATATATATATATTAGGGTAGTCCTTAATATGGGCATTTTCGAATTTCCTTAAACGATTCTGTGAAAGTTTTAGCTTTTAATATGGTCTTTCAGATAGAGCGGAATTCAATCAAAGATTTGTATGGAAATAGCATGAAAAGATTTTCAATTTTGCAGGGCGTCGAATTTTCAATAAAAAATTACACAAATTTTCACTTTTAATTCATTTGTCGCTAAGTTATACCTAAAAATTTTTTATTTAATTTTCAATATGCTATTTCTATACGAAGTTTGATTGAATTGCGCACTATCTAAAAGTTAATATTAAGAGCTAAAACTTATGTTTAAATATATATAGGGTGTGCTGTGGACAGGAGTGGGCCACGTTTTCAGTTTTGGTTTTAAAATAGTTAAAAGTGGAAATTGGTTCTTTTTTTTTAATTACAATGACATTTCAATACGCAACTTCATGTCATAGCAGATGATTGCAATTATGTTTGAAAGTATTTCTATATTATAAATAACTTTATTATATTCTATATTAAAAATAATATGCATTACGCAATTGGAACATGTAAAAACCATACACCTAATGGTTGAAAGATTTATTTGCATCTCGTTTAGCATTTGAAGCTAACATTGCTTTTATAATACTTTTATACTGTTTATTTACAATATCAGTCTTCTTATTAGGTAAATTTATTCTTTCTTTTGTCGATACTTCTGGTTGATCTGCACATATTGACTTCGGAAAAATTTCAACTAAACGTACATGTTGTTTTGCGGTCTTTACAGATTTTATGTTGGTTGATTGGGCAGTGATAATTATTCTTGATTTGGGCTTGGGGAGCTCATCTTCTAGTTTACCAAGTCTATTAAATACAGAAGCCGATGACGTAGTTGATGGATTAGATTTAACATGGACTTGTCTCGAGTTGTGATGCATACCTAGCCTTCTAAAAATAGACGGTTTTGACTTGGCTGCAACTTGCTTGGATAGCATATATTTCTTCTTCTCAAGTATTTCTTTGCTCCTTTGCGTTATTCTTTGTGGCAATATAACTCTGTAACCTACATTGTGCTCTGGTAAAACTGTTCTAGCCGGCTTTTTAACCTGTGAGACATCAGGCGTGTCTACTTGTGACGTAGGCATAGTCCTTTTTTGGGCTTTGTTTAGTAATATATTCACACCTATTGGTACTGATTTTCCAGTTTCTTCTTTAGGTAAAGAAGCCACAGCTGCTACTGGATCTCTTGCCTTATCAAGGATTCTGTCGCGTTCTGCTTGCTCGTGAACGCTTTTAGCATGTTTTAATATAGCAATAATATCACCAATTCTTGTAATACCCATTTCCCGTAAATAATCTTCATTCAAATCAATTAACATATCTGTTTGTATTCTATTTTCATCAAATAACAAGGCATAACTTGCTGAAACTTGAGATGGAATGCCTGCGTTTGTAAAAAACTTAATCCATTTATCTGAAGTAAACATTTTAATGATGCACAATGTAAAATTTTTAGATTATTTTTTTCATTTGATATCATCATATAATTACATTGTTATCGAATGACATACTACTTTGACATTTTTGAACGGCAAAAATTGTAGAGCAAAGTAGGCCACCCAAATTTTTATCTGGTAAAAATTGTGTAATATACTAAAAATTTTTACACTGAGGGTTTTCAAATGCGCTGATTACGAATCCGTTGTCAAATTTTGCAATTTTTAAAATAGTTGAAACGAAATGAAGGTTAGAAATAGGAAAAACAGTGACTTCGATATAAATGTTTATTCAATGTCTTAAAAGAAGTAATAAAGTTAGAATCATAACATTGTTGAAAAAAATGTTATGCAATATTCAAGATTTTAGGCGCAAATGGCGCTCTCGAAGCCGGTGCAGTTCGTCATATCAACGCACTTCAGCTGGGAAAGATTTGTCACAGTTATCGCACTCGATGGAGTTTTTCTTGTCAGCTTTGCCAGCATCAATTTATTGCAAAGCATGCAAAAATCGATGTCTTCATTTGAAGAAACCGGAGATTTTTTTTTGTCCTTTTTCACAACTAATTGTGAAGTATTGGCCTTTTTGGAAACTTTCGCTGGTGCTTGCTATTTTTGACGCTGTGCTGCTTCTGCCGCTTTCTGTGTTTAGGGGATGTGATGATGCGTAGGGGATATAAAAGACGATCTGCTAACGTTGAAAGCAGCAGAAGCAACACGCTCCGATATTTTAATTATTTTCACTTCATAACATTAATCAATTTTACCTTCATTTTACCATTTTTGGGAACTACCTGTATTTTAGGAGGCATTTCAGCTGAAGTAAATAAAATAAATAAATAAAACGTTTGAATAATTAATAAAAACACTTTACTGTGCAAATAACGGCAATACTCAAGTGGCCCATATCTGTCCATAAATAGTTGTTCACTTCTATCTACGAACTCCTTTTTTTGCATATGCATCCCAAGAAAACAATGTAAACAATCGGCAAAAATCACTTTGCATTTCTAAAAATTATATAATAAAATATATTAAATTATAATTAATTATAATATAATTATAATTATGTTATAAGTGTATAAAATATATTAAATAATTACTTGAATTTTTCTCTGAAAATTCGATAACAAATCGCGCGTTTCCCTGTACAGTGCGAGAGCAGGTTTATATATTACCCTATTCATATTATAAAAAGGTATTTTTTTGTTACAGCAGCATTGTGAAAATGTCTAAATAATTAGTTCTAATAACTTTACAACAAATTATATGGAATATATTTGAACAAGATTAATTTTCATATTAAATTTTCGTTTTAATTATTTTTCTCCATTTGCTAAAATCAAAATAGATTAGGATACAAACTGTTTGCAACCGTAAGTTGTTAAATTGTAATATATAGCATTTAAGTTGTACATGGAATCTGACGAAGAAATAAAATAAAATTAATCATCCATGGCTGTAATTGCGAATTAGTTGACTAAAATAGTCATGTAATTTTGAATCATAGCATGTGAACAATATTTAAACAACTTGCACAATAAGTACAAAATAGTTAAATAAATGTGATAATAATAATGCAAAATTTCATTTATGATCAGAAGTTATATACGAATATATGCTGTTGTATGAACCAAGAATTATGGCAATAAAAGTTTTAGTGCAAGTATTTCAAAGGCGACGGGCGTACCTCAGCGGTAGTATGCCTGATTTGCACGCCACAGACCTCCGGATGGAGTCCTGACACTGTGTCTAACAACATATAAAATATAAAATTGAATTGAAATGACTTGTTGTTGAAATGATAATTATGAAAAAACTTTAAAAAAATTCAAATTGTTGCAAAAATGGGTTTTATCGAAAAATGGTATTATCATGATCATTGTGAACATATTACACAACATACTTTAATATCAGCTTAAATTATATATATATATATATATATATATATATATATATATATATATATATATATATATCGGTCTAACAATAGCGTACATCTGAGAAACGACACAAATATTTTACACGACTCGTATATAAATATCATTAAAAATTTATATATTTTTTGTTTACTTAATTCTTTCCAATAAATTAATCTGTTTTTACATTTGTTGATTTTAGAATGCGACAGCGCACTCCTTTTGTTCACATTCAATAATATCCATCCATGTTTCTTCATCTTCGACACTCAAGATTTGTTTTCAAATATTTCTGTATATTTTCACATGTTTAGTACTGTGTCAAGCATTGTAAGAGATTGTTGGTGTTTTTTGTTTTTCAAAAATTAAATAAAATTAAAATGAAATTTTAAATAATGTATTAGTATATATTAGTATAATTTTTAGTGTTTTGAAATTACACTGAAGATGAGGCATATCATGGTCTCAAAAACTCTTAATATTCAATAAGTGTATGTAAAAATCTGAGTTTTGTGTTGATCATCTTTAACATTTAATAATCGTTACACTCATATCACAAAATTATATATATATATATATATATATATAAATGGTTCGTAGTCGTAAATCTATCAAATTACGGAAATTACCAAACTAACTCTTTATGCTGCATGACAGCTCTGGCGGGCACAAAATCGCGATCGTATTTTAAATCACGACGTTTCGTGCGAAATGATAATAGAAAATGATGCATTGCCAATACTTTACTGGAATTCCAAAGTAAAGTCCTGGCAAACGTACAAAGGTCAAACATACATACCCATATACACCATTAAAAATGTGCACATTTTGTTTTACAAATTTAATCCAAAAATGGAAGTAAATTATTGTTAAAAATATTTTTTTCCTCATATTTTTATGAAATTAATAATTTCTCATTTCACATATTCTTTCACTTTATTGAAGTGGATGGTTTATTGATTTTATAATAATAAATCAGAGCATATTTTTTGTAAAAATGGAGTATATATGGAAATAAAAAACAAAGTGCAACATATTTATTTTACATATTTAATGAATACAAAATGTTTATTTCGTTTAGGTTCTTCTTGCGCGTATATTTCCGACCAATTTTTTTTTTAACCAAAAATTTATTTTTTTTGTACAAAAAAGTCGAACTTATATGTACACGTGATGCAGAACGTGTAGTATTTTAAACTAGCTTAAAATATTTATTAATCTAAAAAATTATGTATTTTTATTGTTAATATAAATATAAAATCACAAAAAATATTTCAACCGCATGAAATATTTAAGCTTTTTTATAAGTTCAAGAAAAGCTTAATAAAAGTTCTGTTAAAATATTTATTGAATGAAAAAGTGATAGAAATTGTTAGACTACTGTAGTGATTATTGCGAAATAGTGACTTGTATGTATATATATATATATATATATATATATATATATATATATATATATGAGAATTTGAGAATAAGTGGAATCAAATTCTGACCACACTACAACAGCTTCATGATCAAATTACGAAGAACAATTAATTTTATTCACAATATGCATACAGTTTTAATATTTTTTGTACCAATGCATAATTCAAAGCAAACTTTAAAACTTATACAACATTTCGAATTCAAAAATACCGTATTGAATTCTACAAAAATAATCGCATATCAGCATATGGTGCGCATAAAACAGACGTCCGTTCGATGCGTATATTTCTTCTATTTATATTTTTCTATCAAATCTGTATCACTCGATTTTTCGTATAGCGAAACATTTCAATTCAGTTTGTTGCTGTTGCTCAGCGGCTTAAAAATACTCGAATAATAAAAAACCATTGATATTCCGAATCTATATGCAGAGGATTAATATGAGGAAGTCCACTCAATATACACACTGAGCACGGAGGAAATATTACGGAAAAATATTTTCATTATTGAGATAAAAATATATCAGAATTCAATACACAATATATATATATATATATATATATATATATATATAATTTTACAAATTTAATACTTGTATTCGATTTTATCACGTCATTTATTTTATAACAGACTGTTTAAAATACTATCTATCTGACGAGTTGTGCGACCATCATCATTTATATAAAATATTAATTTTATGAAGTAAGTAAATTGATTTTAATTAATTTTAAATTGAAAACTTATCAAATATTTTTAAATTTTGGGCTAATATTATCAAATTATATGATATTAATAATTGGAATAAAATTACAATAATCAATACATAGAGCTCATCCATCAAATTTTATCTATAGGAACTTCATATATCTAAATTATTATATATAACTACATGACCCGACAGACGTTGTCCTGTACCCATGTCTACAATTTTTTAATATAATATACAAATATTTACCGTTTACCTAAATTTTTTTTTTAAATTACTCTTCCCGCCAAAATGCATATACATTTATAATATGAGCGATGTTAAATGTAGAACTGCTTTAAATAAAATGATGAGTCTCAATTCCCACACTATATTGGAAATTGAAGTCTTTAAACGGTATAACATAACCATAACCATAACCATAACCATAACATAACACTTGGATGTGTTCATGTTGGATTAAATTAATTTTATTTTTTATTATTTAAGATGGCCAAAATTGCATCTTAAAATTCTCCTAATCGATATCGTGAGGGCCAAATTGTATGTATTCATCTTTACTTTCCCATTTGTTGTTATAAAGTGAAATATTTACGAATTTTAAAAATATTGTGGGAAGATTAGTAAAATACTATATTGAAAATTTAATATCCAAATCTTGTGTTGGCGCCCCCTAAGGCGTGCGCTCGTATTTTTCGCATGCATCGCATTAAAAGTAGGACCGGCGCTGATCAATACTTAATTTCATATTTCAAGTATAATAATTTGTCATATCCTGTTCATATGTGTTGTGTATCATTCAACCTGCCATACAAATACAGTATTTTATATTATTTTAAATTCTGGCATATCTCAGCTGCTGTTTTGGCAATAATAATATAGACAATTCATTTTTCTCATTCATAATCATAAATTTATTATAAATATCCCAATATTTTCTAGGTTCGTAAGTAAATTGAAAATTTTGGCAGATAGGTTTCATTTGTTTTCAATGCAAACAATAACACGTTGTTTTTTACAATTTTTTCCATTTATTTTTATGTACAATATTGCACATAAATCACAGTACCTTATAGTCACATACATCCTAGAAAATTTCCTTAAACTTCTGCAAGATTTATCAAAATCCGCATAATCGTTTAGAAGGAGTATACAGTGAGTGCTTGTAATTTAATATGAAATTTATTTAATAGCAATAAAGCTCAAATTGATTCTACGTTTTAGTTTGAAAACGATTGTATGAGAAAAAGAAAAAAGCTGTTTTTAGGGGGTTCCCGGCAATTATTCGATTTTTTCTCGCCGTAAGAACCATCCTTGTACATTGATGAAAAAAATTGGCCAAATTGGTCCAGGCGTTGTTGAGTTATGCACTTACCAACACATTTTGCGATTCATTTTTATATTATAGATGTAAAATTCTTACTGAAATTTAAAATAACTTGTTCTTTACATTATTTTAAATTTGGATCTTCGTATCGAATGAAGACCAGTTTGATTTCAGAAAGAGTACAGGGCTTCAAAGACGTCATTAGACTTAATCTGGATGTTAAAGAGTACATTTGCTTCTGTTCCATAGATTGGCAGAAAGTCTTCGATAGAGTCAACTGGAATATGCTAATGAAGATTTTTTAAACTAGTGGCATAGATTGGAGAAATCGCAGGGTGATACAGAAACTGTACTTAGGACAAAAAATGAAGGTTTAAGAAAATCAGGGCGATATAAATACGCCGAAGATCTTGTAGTGATATCGAAAACCTAAAC